TTCAGCGCTAAGCGTAATCTAGAGTAGGCTAAATTGCACGGCTTGAGGGTTAACGTGAGCTTTTGACCGTTCATGTTAATCGCTGGGCTTATGCCAATGTAAAGAAACTGTTGATTTGTATGGGGCTGTCCCTGGACATGGGCCTACTGCAACAGGCATCTAAGATCTTAGTACCACAGTGTCCTAAATGATTCCCAACACTATTTTGGGGCTCCTTCTTCTACGTACAGTACAATATGTCCGAAAACCCTATTCTAACTATGTTAAGGCCTCTACCCTAAAGCCACATAGAACCGTTTAAAGGAAGCCTATAGAGAAGTATTAAAAATATTTAAGGGCCTCAGACCAAACCCCTTAGAGTAACCCTTCTAGAAAAAGTTTAAGGGAGCCCTCAAAGAAAGCTGATAGAGAACCTGTTCTCATTATTAAGGCCCCGGTATTATCCTGAGCCTCGGAAACCTGACACCAAACCCTAAAATCTCAACAATAAACTCCCAAACCTTGATCCCTAAACCCTGAACCCCTGAACGCTAAACCCTAAACCCTTAACCCTGAACCCTAAACCTTGATCCCTAAACCCTGAAGCCCTGAACGCCAAACCCTTAACCCTGAACCCTAAACCTTGATCCCTAAACCCTGAAGCCCTGAACGCTAAACCCTTAACCCTGAACCCTAAACCTTGAACCCTGAACCCTGAACCCTCTACCGCGGAAGCCTCGGCCCTAACCTCCAACTTTAGCCCCAAATCGCTACATGCTGTAATGTAGGGGCCTTAAGAATTAAGATAGGGCTCCCTTCATATAGGGCTTTCGTACCCGAAAATGGCGCCTTCAAGGGAATGCAATCCTGTATCCTAGATCCTGAAGCCCTCGTAAACACCCTAAACCCAAGAGGCCTCTAAGCCTGTAACGTTTAGGGTTTACAGGTTTAGGGTTTAGGGTTTGGGGTTTAGGCTTTAGGGTTTAGGGTTTAGGAGGGTTTAGGGTTAAGCCGCAACCGTAAATCCAAAATGACCCTAATGTCCACACCCTCCCTCTGTCCTAAGCCCCAAAGCCCTTTGCAATCCGAACCCCGAGCCTTAAGCCAGTCGCCATGTCCTGTAGAAGCCTGCCAAATTCGGACTGTGATAAGTTTAGGGTTTAGGGTTTAGGGTCCCCATAATTTAGGGTTTGGGGTCTCAGTGGTTTAGGGTATCCTATATAATCCGTACATTAGTTATAGTTAGAATGCATTCATTAAGGCCCCCCCCCCCCATATGACCCCACAATCCCCAGCCAGTGGATTTGCTCTGCGCAATGCATGTCCTCAACAGCTTGCCAGAAAGCAGAATGCCGGAAGCTCGACTTCACCAATAGCTTGCAAAGAAACCCCCAAAACAAAGCCCTTAGGCAACGCTTCAGAGGTACCCTAGACCCTAAACCCTAAACCCTATATAAGAGTTGTAAACGGGAAATTCCGCTCAAACTGCCGGGGGCCCATGTTACCGCGAATCCAGAGAGCCCCATACACCTTAATTAAGGAATATACCTTAAATCATAATATTAAGGCCCCTATAGTATATTCCTTATTTAGGGGGTATTGGGCTCTCTGCCAAGCTCTAAAGGCCGGCAAACGTCCCATGGCAGCTGGCAGTACTCGCTGAGCCCCTCTGCACAGTGCACAAGGCAGTAAAGCCAAGGTTTAGTGCTTAGGAGCCTGGGTCTCTGAACCCTAAACCCCGAAGCCCTAGGGTTTAGGGTTTTAGGGTTTAGGGCAGCTGGTTTTAGGGTATTAGCAGGGGTGAGGGGGCCTGAACAATTATTGATAGTATTCCCGTGCGATCCCTTTATCAGTATATTATATATACGATAATAGATCTCAAAATCATGTCCCGGCTACACCACACAAGTATTGTGGGTTTTGGAGTTTAATGTCAAAGGGATCCATATTCAGGGATTGTTGTTTCAGCGCATGCGGCTTTGGTGTTAGGGTCGCCAAACCCTAAACCCTAAGAAGGGGGCTCAATATGAGCTTGGCTGGTTTTTTTTCAGCGTCCAGTGAGGATCTACAGGTCCGAATGAGACAAGTACTCAAAGGGATCAGTTGACTTAGTAAGCAGGGCTATGGTAGGTGGTAGGGCTTGTCGGTAGATGTAATTGCAGTCACCTTACTCGTACCCCTACATGCAAAGTCCCTTAATCCAATGAGTACCGAACCTTGCAAGCACTTTTTAAGGTCGGATTTTGGGAAAAATAGGTAAAAGGGATCGCGAGGCCTGGACAAGCCCCAAAAGGGTACCTTGACTCCGCCAACAATAACTCCCCTAAACCCTAAACCCTAAACCCTAAACCCTAAACCCTAAACCTTAACCCTCAGCCCTAAACCCTAAACCCTAATCAGCCCGAAGAACCTAGATGCTCACGCTGCTGGGCCTGTGGATTTCCGGATCAGGTTCTGTAGCCGATTTCCCTTGTGACGGGGCGCCTCATCAGGAAGAGGGAGGGTGTCCCACTATGCTTCGGCCACTGCTGCGGCCACTGTTGCCGCTGATGTTTCGTTGCGTTTCGCTTCGGCCGGCGTCGCGTTCGCGTCGGTTCGGTTCCACGCGTCCGATATTGCGGTTCGATGGGTCCGGCCCGGTATTCTGGCGGTTCCTTGCGGTTCGTTTAGTTGCGCTTCGATTCCCGGTTCCCGCTTGCATTCCCGGCTTTCCTGCAAAACCCAAAACCCAACACCGGAAACCCCGAACCCGAAACCCTAACCCAGAAGGCCTAACCCTAGACCATAAGGCCAAAACCCTAACCCATAAGGCCTAAACCCTGACCCATAAGGCCTAAACCCTGACCCAGAAGGCCTAAACCCCAAAACCCCAAAACCCGAAAACCCCAAAGCCCGAAACCCTCGCAGAGGCGGTGCGGCTGGCTGCTCGTCGGCTTCTGGTTCCGGGTCTTGGGATCTAGGGATCTCTAGGGGATTTAGGGTTCTTGGGATCTAGGGTTTAGGGGGTTTAGGGGGGTTTAGGGGTTTAGGGGGTTTAGGGGTTTAGGGGGTTTAGGGGTTTAGGGTTTAAGGGTTGAGGGTTTAGGGGTTTTAGCGTTTAGGGGTTTAGGGTTTTAGGGTTTAAGGGTTTAAGGGTTTAGAGTTTGGGGTTTAGGGTTTTTGGATTTTAGGGGCTTAGGTTCTAGAACTGTTTCCCCTAAACCCTAAAGGGTTCAGGGTTCAGGGTTTAGAACTGTTCCCAGGGCTTGGGAAAGGGTTGTCTCGGGTCTGCCACGGCTACTGAATGTTATGAAGCTTGGTGTCTAGTTTGGTTCAGGGTTGTTATAGGGATTATAGGGGTTGGAATACAAAGTAATGCTCTTCATTAGGGTTCCTTATTCTGTTTGTGTGGGAACCTGGAGCTTGCTAAACCCGACCTCTCCCCCCAATGTGCCCCGAAGGCACACGTCGAAACTGTTTCGCAGTGTGTGGGCTTACCCTAAACCCTAAACCCTAAACGCTAAACTCTAAACCCCTAAACCCTAAACGCCAAACCCTAAACCCCAAACCCTGCTAGATGTAGCGTGTAGGGATTCGGCGTCTTGGGGGTGGTAGGGTTAGTAGTGGTTTCGTTCGGTCCCAGCTCTAAAGACGGAGCCCTGAACTTCAAGCTTCATCTGGCCCTGAACGTCAACTGGGCCCTTGTTAAGGGGTTTAACTTAAAGTTACTATAAACGGAAGCCATGTTATGCGGAAGCCATGTTATTTACCCTAAACCGTAAACCCTAAACCCTAAACCCCTAAAATAGATCCCTACTATGGTAGCTTAAATTAATCCCCTAGCAAGAACCCAGTCAAAGGCCCCGACGAAAACCCCGTTCCGATTGAGCAATCGCGTAAGCGAAGAGATAAAGCCAACAAAAAGGTAGGTGTTCCACTAGATGCAAAAAACATATATGTTTCATGTATGTGTAGTTTTATGAGTATATGTATGTGTATAGGCACATGTATATGCGTATGCATATAAACACACACACACATATATATATATAATATGTGTATATGTACAGGTATCTGTACCTCTTTATCTGTGCATGTGTATGCATATGCACATGCATGTGTTTGTGTATGTGTATGAGTACGTCTCTGAGTATGTGTATGTGTATGTGTGTTTGTTCATGCGAATGTGCCTTTGTACATGTGTATTTGTAATGTGCGTATGTTTATGTCTAGGCCTAGGTCTATATCTATGTACATGTATATGTTCAAGTATATGTATGTATGTATGTATGTATGTATGCATGCATGTACATGTTCTCGGCATTTAGTCTTATGTCTATGTTTGTCTGTGTGTGTGCATATATTTGTATATGTTCCTACATACATGCACATATCCGTGTTGCAGGTTATCAACAGCAGTACTAGTCAACAGGGTCAAAAATAATATGATGCTGGTGCTGTTCATACTGACAATAATGACACATCACTGCACTGGTAAGTTTAGATGATGATGACGATGATGATGATGATGGTCAACATGAGGATGGTGATGATGAGGGTGGTGATGATGATGTTGATGACCATGATGATAATGACGAATATTATGGTGATGGCGACAAACCCCAAACTCCTAAACCCTAAGCCCTCATTAACTTATAGAGCCCTTAGGCCCTTATAGAACCCTTTGTGCCCGTGCGTCTCCATGTGGCTGGCTGCGCGGCGGTGGCCAACGGTCTGCCCGGCTCCGTTGGACTTCAGGGTTTACTGTTTTGAACGGGAGTTTAGGCTTTAGGGGTTTAGGGTGTAGGGTTTAGGGTTTAGGGGTTTAGGGTTTAGGGTTTAGGGTTTCTTGTATACGGGTACTATACGGCTTTGGATTTAGGGTTTGGGTTTCGCGGCACATAGAGCAGCGCTCAGCTTTCTGATGAAATCCCGTCACGAGAGTGTTTCAACCCTTGCTGCTTGTTGTGGCCAGTCCGTTATGTGTTGAGTTTGTGCTCAGAACGGTACCCGGAACTGCTGAATAAGCGTCACTCAGCTCAATGCAGAGTTTGCGCACCTTCGGCTTGTCGGTGATGGGCTTGGCGATGGTATCGTGGGGTGCCCTGGCCTTCACGCCCGTCCTCAGAACGGGAGGAGGCCACCTGCCGCATCTCCGAGGAGCGAGCCAAGCAAAGAGCGCGGGGTTGTCATACATGGGCGGCACAGCAACCACGGTCCTCGCAACCAGCTTGCTCACGCTGGGCACTTTGGTGGCCCGTTCCAAGACTGCTCGTGCTGCCGTCCTTGAGAAAGACAGTGCTGGCAGGTTTCGCTTTGCAACCTCTGCGGGGTCTGCAGCTGCAGTGTCGGGATCAACGGAATTGGTGTTTGCTGAACAGCCTGGTGTAAGTCAGCCTTGGGGATTCTATGATCCCTTGAACTTTTGCAAGAGTGGGCTGATGACGTTTCCGAACCAGGATGACCCCACTGGCTTCCAGCACCTCCGAAATGCCGAACTGAAGCACGGACGCTTTGCAATGATGGCTGCCACCGGCTCTTTGTTTGCCTGCTACGTGAAGTTCCCGGGGTTTGAGAACGTGCCGAGTGGTTTTGCAGCCCTCAACACCGCCAAGGGTGCGGAGGGCTTTGCTCTGCTTGTAGCTCTGATCGCTGCGCATGAGATTGCAACCTGGAGCCTGGACGAAGAGCCCGCGAGCTACGCTGGCCTTCGGGATTCAACGCCTGAGTTGGTGACGAAGGAGCTCAACAACGGGCGCCTGGCAATGTTTGCTTTCGCAGGGCAGATTTCTGCAGAGATGCTCACCGGACAAGACCCCTTGCAGCAGTTCCTGGCATGGGCCTACAGCTATCCCAAATTTGTTTAAGAGGCTACTTATTCACAGCTGCCTACATTATGCTTCAGGCGACAAGTCCAGATATCATTCCGCTACAGTTCGGAAATGAACTCGCTCGCTGCGCCAACTGCCGGTGCGTTGTGCCTACAGGTGCAAAGAACTTTTAACTTCAACTTTTAACTATCAGATGTGGTGACTTGTCAAGCCAATGATTTGTGTGGGCACCCACCTGTACAGACTTGAAGGATCGTTCAAAGGCGGTAGCAGCTAAGCAAGGTGTGAAATCGCAACTTTTCTGACCGTGCAGAACCAGACCGTCCATTCTAGACAATGGGTCCCAAATCCCCCGTAAACGCTAAACCCTAAACCCTAAACCCTGCGAAGCCCCAATGTGACAGGTGATGGCAGGAGAACCACGAGAAGGCACAGTCAGCTCGAATGCACCTCCCCAGCTCTACGGCTTCTTGCAGGAGTAGAGCTACCCATAGGCCCCTAAGTAGTCCCTTTCTATGGTTTATATTTAGAATCCTATAAGGTAATTTAAAAAGGAACTACTTAGGGGCCTATGGGTAGAGTGCAGAGCTTTTCGAAGACCGTAAGCCTCAAGCCTAAACCCGCGGAGGTTGCGCAACGTGCTGCGCGAGAGAGTTCTACAACGACTTGGTCCCCTACCAGCCTGACTACGGCATGGCCTTGATCGTTCTCATTCTCGTGTCCAGGGTAGCTTCAGGGTTTCGGGTAAACCCTAAACCCTAAACCCTAAACCCTAATACGCTAGGTAGACTGTGGGCCTGTGGTCTTCTAGAAGTTCAGTACCTGTGTCTCAAGGCCAAACTTCCAGCCGACGCTGCCGGTTGCCGGGTGGTGGTGGTCGGCGATGGTGCGGTGGGCCACTCTACGGCACAGAGCTGCAATAAGAATAGTAAGCGTAGCCTAGCAGCAATAGAAGTCATAGCCGCAAGCGTGATAGCAAGAACTGCTTTTTGAGGATAGTACTGTTGATGATATAAATCCTGCATGACCTTCAGGACCCTAAATTCTGGGAATTATGGTATACAGTATATTCCTTATCATGGGTCATGCAGGGTTTATATCATCAGCCCTAAGCCGTACGAATTTCCGATGTGAACTCCTCGGTTCGAGCGGCTTTCAAGTTCGCGGGGCTTCGTGGTCTTCAGGAGACCTCGGGCCTTTTCGTGGGGGCTAAAAAGAAGCTCAGTTCCAATTAGAAATGCTGAAAGAAGAGCGTGAACCACCTGAAGCATACTTCTTACCCTAAACCCTAAGCCCTAATTCCTAAAGCCTTAGGGAGTATATGCCTTCTTAAAGGGCTATTGGGCTCGGGTGGGTAAAGCCCTTTCTGAAGGCTTGGGGTGCATGCTCAACTTGATGGATTGCTTGGAGGATCAGGGAACTTAGTAAATAGGGTCATCAGTGCCCTAGTTGGCACTATAAATATTCGCAGCCACAGTTACCCTACCGAACACCCTACTTCCGAAGTCTCGCGATCCTTTAAGTAGGTTTTAGGGTATGGGGTCCTGGAAGTCAACCCTAAAGTCCTAAACCCAAACTGGCGTGACTTTAGCCCGCACATCCGTTCTGGAAAGCTGGCACAGGACAGCGAAAGGTGTGGGACCCTGGGGTTCAGGTTTAGGGATTTTGGGGTTTCGGGATTTTGGGGTTTGGGGATGTGGGGGATTTTGAGGATTTAGGGGATTTTGGGGTTTAGCGGTTTAGGGGTTTAGGGATTTTTGGGGTTTAGGGAAGGATAGTTCAAGGTTTTAGAGTTTAAGCACGTGATACGCCTGAAATCCTCAGACCTTCCGACCAAGGTCTCCTGCTGCTGCAGGTGCCTGGGGACACTGGGGGTAGCGTCGGTGTAGGGTTTAGGGTTTAGGGTTTTGGGTTTAGGGTTTAGGGTTCGGGGTTTTGGCGAGGGTATGTAGGGCTCCTTATGAGTTTTTTGTTGAGTGTAGCTTTTTGGGTTCCCGTCTCATGGAAAGACGCAATCCTGGCCGAGATTAAAAATTTAAAAACTAAAAATAGAGGCCTTCTTAATTAGAATAGGGTTTGGGGGTATCTTATACTTGAAAATAAGGAAGCCCCAAAACCCTATTCGGCCCCTACATTAGTGGCTTACTGGTTGAGGACTTCCGGGGTTCTTGGCCGAGGGTCTGGGACCCTGCCATCGAACCCCCAGCCCTAAAGCCATGGAAGCCGAAGCCCGGAGTCCACGGGATCCCATGAATCCCAAGGTCGGCGCATGCCATGATGAGCCCAGACAAAGCTGTAGTTCATGATCCATGCAATTACCATCTTCAGCTCTAATCTGGGACATTTTCAGTGGGTAGTTGCCGTTATAGGAGCCTTATAGAAGGTCTATATATACCTTATAGAAGCCTTATAGAAGCCCTATATACCCTAAACTCCCCACCTGTAGTTTCCTTTAATCTAAGCCCACATAAATCATAAAGAGACCCGTGATTCATACATCACTTACCTTCTCTTTGAGTCTCTTAGAATCCAGACTCCCAAGCCCTAAAAGAGGCTGACTTCAAAGCCTAGGACCTTCGAGGTGCGTTCCGTGGTACACCAGCGAGGAACAATACCATCGGCAGCTGCAGAAACAAGTGGTCGAGGGCCTCAACGAAACGCTCCACCAGCGTGAGACCCTAAACCCCTAAAACCCTAAA